TTCACTAAGGTGAAATAGATAAGAAAGTCTTTTTTCTAGTAGGTAATTATAACTTAGGGTTCAGATAAGATTGCTGGTTCCATAATTTTATTTTAAGTTGAACTGATTAAACATATCTTAGCTCGTTATTATCTTATATAATCGTTAAAAAAAGATTTAAGTCATAACAATGGGATGAAACTTCTAAGTATTTGAATTTTACCGAGATATCATGTTTATGATAGTTAAAGCGGTAGAGTGGAAGTCTTGCCATCAACGAATGCCACGTTGGTTCGAACAGTGCTCAGAACTGATCGTTATATACGCATTTACGTACTGACGCAATCAATCGTATGCAAATGTATTGCAATTAATTATTGGCTTTTTTTTTTAATTTCATAATTTTTTACATGAATAAAATAATCATACAGGTATAACATAAGTTAAATGATGTTACAAACTAATGATTTTATGATCTTCAAGTATTATAATTTTTAACCGAAATTTTTGTACCAGATTGCAAGGGTGTACAATTGTCTGTAAATATTTTCAAAAATTTCTGTCAGTATTTTTATAGGAAAAGTGTAGCATATGATATTTTAAAAATTTTTCATGATCCGTAGTTCATAAAATTGTACCAAGATTTTGTATACTCTACGTCCGATTGTATGGATCTCACTTACCATTGTGTTGTTATCACTGAACGTACAAACTAGCTATATCTACGATATCATAACTGGATATACCTGCATGTTATCAGTATATTAAATATAAATCTTCACTAAAAACTGCTAACATTTTTGCTTCAATGTTAATTAGTTATCTTAAAATTCACCAATCAGTAAACTTGTTTTATTTACTTTTTTTCGACGATTGGCCTGCTTACGTGACTTTACCCCATTTTGCCATCAAAACCATCTCCAACTTCACACCAATACACCGTAAGATCGATCGGCAAATCAATGGTATAACTCTATCGCAATGGATCATCGTATTAGCGAAGATCAAAGCTCCTCCCAAAAGTGTGCCGTGTGAGCAAACAAAAAAAAAAGAAAAAAAAAAAAAAAACAGGTCACGCAAAAGCAGTCCCTCCGTATTCAGAGCGTGAGTCCTCGATAAAATCCGCATCAGGAGCGCATATATCGAGCCATTATTGCGAGCTTGTATCGACTGCACGTGTATGTATAGACATATGAAGCTGATGCGAGAGAGGCAGGGATTACCGATTTTCTACATTACGCCCTAGAGTACTAAGTACACGAACGAGATCCCGTATAACTGCGTCGTTATGACGTCTCTCTCGTTCGGTCATTTTGACTATGGGTACCCCATTATCGGAATTTCCCCTTTGGCACGCGCGTAATGGCCCCCCTCTCGTCGAAACAGTGTCTAGATTATCGTCAGCCTTCGTGACACTATTTTTATTCATGGGTCGCCCACTTGCATACTTTTCTCTTTTTATACATATAAAAAAAAAAAAAATACTAATACAGAGCTTTCCTGGTGGTTTCAAATAGAAAACTCTTACGGATTATGTGCGTTGTATACTCGTGACTCGCAGCAACACCTATCAATTTTCTTTTCACCTATTTACCATTGACCATTTCCTTTACTCTACAACAATGTTTGAGCTTCAATATAAAAAAAAGAAGGAGATGAGCAGTCTGTAAGAAAAGGCTCGTTTACTTTCATCGGAAAATCTATATTGGAAAAACTTGCATCACCTCAGCGATATAGTCCTCATACGCAATCACGAGAACTGTAGTTACAGTGAACCACATCAGAACTGAACAGAGAAAATCTTTTAACGTACTTACCATTTTAATACATCGAATAATCAAGTAGATTAAACATATAAAAAAAAAAAAAAACATGGCATTACAACACCCCAAGCGTGATCTCGTCGCATGATAAATGCAAAACAAGCCGATGTATGAGCATCAGCCCCCCTGCGCGTATACATAATTAAAACGAAGAACTATTTATACAACTACCCTGTATGCATGTACATATAAGCGACAAACTCGTGGGAGCGCGAGTAATACGCAAACTACTACGTTTACACAGAGTTAAACTTTCTGCATGCTGCGCAGCCGCGGCTTCGGCAACGCAACACCACCTGTTCGTTTTCGAGTCACACGCACACATACTCGCACGAGGGCTTATAGTGGGAGAGAGAGAGTGAGGGGGGGGGGTGTACATCGGAAATTCTGCGTCTTAATGCGCAAGGGAGGACTCGCTCCTCCCGGCAGTAAACATGCAAATGACTAATATTGAGGAGCGCGCTGTGTACCTACTCATCCACCACTTATTTTTCCTTCCCTCGCCCCCTCCCCCGTGATCCAATTGAACGCGTGGGAGCTAAATTCACTCCTTGTACTCCTGGGGTGCTGTCTTTCTTTATCTCCAAGAGACGCGAGTAGGACAGTGTGTCTCCGCATCGCTCGGGGCTGCGTAAGCGACATAGGAGCTGTGTCATTTGATATTGTACGAGGAGAGCGACTTATCTTATCGAGAGCTCGGCGGGGCCCTTTCGGCTCTGAAACACTACTGCTCTCTGCGTGATCCTTTCACAGAAGACGCTGATGGCGGGATTGTATAGCACGGGTCTCGAGCCGAGTATGATGGATTTGTTTTTGCTTTTTTTTTATCTTTCGAATGCGTCGTGTTTGTACTTATTGATGAAAGAAATTACATGGAATATGAATATGAGTAAATAAATTATTGCAAAATGTTGTATAGTAAAATGTCATTACGTTTTGACGTAGGGAGCGAGTCAAAGCAATTCTGTAATAATAGAAAGTTGATCAAATGCCTTATAGTGTTTACTTTTATGTGCATATTACTGTACAAAAATATATATTCATTGTAACAATATCCATAAATTATGTAATACGCTTTGTATTACTCAGTAGTATCAAATATAATTTCATTAAAAAATGGTATGGTATTTGTGAGTTGTATGTGGATGTAAGTCTTGGACAATTTCATCAAACACCTCAATAACCACTTGCATAAATTCGTAGATTTAATAATTAAAAAAAAAAAAAAATTATAATTACACTAGACCTATACACGAGTACCAATACTTGCCTATTTTGTAAGGCTTAGATGATGTGCTTCAGAATAATAATATAACTGGACTATGAATAATTAACATAGTATATTTGTCATTCCTGATGATCAGATAACTTCGATAAACGAGATAGTTCGTTTGATCATACTGCGAGATATCGTCGATTTGTCACTCAAAGCTTCCTTGTTCTTAATTCACAAGCATACAAGATGATGTAATGCGCATGATATTTTAGCTAGATTAATGGATTAGTGGCTTCAACGGAGAATTTATTCAGTGGCACTGCATTTTCCCACACAGATATAAGCGATCGATACTCAATTGGGGTTAAGTGGCAGTACTGATTTTGCCTTTTATGACATTAAGAAGCACACGTGCTCACTAATTTTACAGTTAACTCGGAATATATTTTTAGATTTTTGAAAAGTGATACAGTTTATTCTTAGTTTTTGATTATGTAGTAATTATATTATTATGTTTATCAGAAAAATTTAAGTTAATAATTGTATCCCTCGTTGTTAATTTACTGTATGTTATCAAGATCTTGGGAGAGAATTAGTATCTTTATTTTCTGTTTGAAATAGTGTAAATGCACAAGCTTGCAGAAAGGTCGTGATCACCTAAATTTATCATTACCTCGTGAAAAAAAAAAAAAAATTAAAAAAAAAAAAAAAAAGAGAGGAGGAAGAAATATTTGGAACGTGAAATGCACTAGACTGTGCCGAAATAGCTTGGAGTAATCAGTAGTAAAAGCTGGCAATTTATTAAAGACGGAGGGAATAAAGAATAGAACGAGGCTCGGCTTGTATAGCTCGAGGAAGGCGTTATTACTCACGTACTTTTCTCTCAAGCTTAATTGTCCGAACAGTAATGATTTGTAAGCAAGAAACAAGTTTTTTAATTTTTTACATACATGTGGATGGATGTGTTGTCGAAATGCTGCATTTGCATGTTGAGCTTCAATTTTATTTCGAGAATAGGTCACTTGGGACAGTGAAATTCGAGAAAAATCAGGTAGAATTCGGTGAAATGTAACATGTTAGCTGACAGGCTTTTAGAGATATTAATACGCGAGGACCTGCGTTTTTCAGAGGTCTTTTTCAAAAATTGTATTTTGTATTTTCGAAAGGTAATTTGACGGGAAATTAGCACCGATGTAAAATAAACATTAAAATATTTTAATTTATAGATTATTTGTTATTGCACATTATTAAATCATAGCACCTCCAGGATCCTCTGATAATGCACAACCTGAATAATTTCAATTTCTCGCCTCTCGTGGAGATGTGTGTCAGATACCGAAGTAAATATCGATTGAAGGAATAATCAATATTCTTAAAATACTTTAAATGCATTCATTATTTACAATACAACTGAAAACTGGCACAAGCAATTTTTTTCAATTTTACATTTTCATCCATTTTATACCAGAAAAATTTCACCATTGTTCTCTGAAGAATTACTCGTAAAGTGATTTAAGGAAAATTTTAGAATTCAAAGCATTTGTTATTAACGTTGATATAAATGAAAGGCTGCTACGTTAAAAAATTAGCTGGTGCTAAAATCAAATTATTTAATTTGCAATTTAAACGCAGCATATTATTATTCTACGATTAATATTGTCTGATAACGAAAACAATTCACTTCGGTTGTTTCAAGAAATAATTATGGTATGTAAAATATTACTTCAGGTTAACTTCCGATAATAACTTATAATACGCAGTGAGAATTATTGTGAAAATTACTAATTGACTGTTGAACTGAGAAAGTTTTTAACAATCGCAAATTCAATTTAATACCCCGTAATCATCAAAGTCACCCTCTTCTATCCTCCTTAGTTTGCAACGTCACCAAGTCACCACTTACAAACACACGTATAAAAGCGCGAGCCTTTAACACCGTATTCTTCATTATTATTGAAATCATGAAGGTTCGTGAAACTCACCTGAGTGAAGTAGTAATAGTAGACCTTCATGCCACGATCGGTGAATAGCTGGGCGAAGTAGATGGATGGACAGATGAAAAAGTAGTCACCCACTATGTCGGCTATCGCCCTCTGGTATATGTAATCGTCTTTTGGATTTTCCCAGTCTGTGTACTGAAACATCATTCATACACTTTTTGATATTTTTTGTAGAGAGTAATGGGTTTTTATACATTTTTATCTCATTTGCATACTATTTAGGTACGTCGAATATCGGATCTGATTTGTTGATGATGAATTTGTAAATTATACTTGCAAACGAAAATTTCATAATATCCTGTTATTTTATAATTGAATATTGTTATTTTTAAATTATGTGTTTGATTATGTTTCACTTTTGTTAGGAATTGTAATTAATGTTATCAAAATATCTTTTCTACTTTAGCCTTTCATTAAACTTAAAAAATATATACAAAATTTATTTTTGAACCAGATCAATACCATTATTCTCTATGTTTTCTACTACGTTATCATTCAAAAGAAATACCACCTAAAAAACTAGTAAGCAAGTTAACTGTTTGTTACTGAAATAGGATAAAGACAATTTAAAGTTTGTGATTTTTAATTTAATTTAATTGTAAACTAATGAGTCTCAACATTCCCAAATTATGTCACCATTATTTTGTTGATGTAACACATTAAAAAAAAAATTTTTTTTACAACACCACTACTTCTAATACTATGTTCAACATAAAGTTTTCTAGCAAAATATAGTGTGAAGTATTTCTAGGGAATAAATTTTACTATAAAGTATCTAAAAAAACACTTAAAAATCCTTTTAGGTAATTCTATTTGTGCAAGCATACGCTTATTGTGGTAAGAAAATAACAGCAGAAGTGAGTAAGTAAATTTCCAATTTTTGTATTTTTCACGAGGGACAGATAAAATAATTTTTAAGAGAAACTTTAGGAAGCAGGTGACGCCGCCTTTGCGTTTGATAAAGCATAAATTAATCTATGCAGTGACCCCGTTTGGTGGACTTCATCGATCGCTCGACTTCGAGAATTCTGTTTTCTTAATATCACGTAAATCAGTAAGTTTTATACTCTAAAAATTCACTTTAGAGCCTTGACTTGTGGATAAAAAAAGATTTACGTAAAAAAAATACACATTATTTTCGTATCCTAATTGTCCTATTATATGTATCACGAGAGAAAATTAAACTGCAGTTCGTGATATCAGTTTTACCCATGGTTTGAAATATTAGTGCTTTAGCTAATGGGTGGTACAAATAATATATTCCGAAAGTACGTACTTCAGCCGTTAAATATAATTTACGAGGCGGTAAATGTAAAACCTGTTGAGCTCAATATAAAACGCAGGTTAACGTTTATGATGTATTTTCGAAAAAAGTCAATTATATGATTTTCACTCGACAGTGTTGTCAAGTGGCAATGTTAAAAATTAATTAACAGCTTTTAGAAGTGTTTATTTATTTGAATGGTTTTAAAAACTTTTCTGTCACGCTATTGGATGTACCCATGACAATTTATGATCACTGTGTATATATATATATTTTTTATATATATATAACTAAACTTGAACGGACAGTGATATTTTTATGCTGTTAAATACTGGTAATCATCAAATAATTTTTTTTACATAAAATTAATTCTAACGGATACCTACACGACAAAAGTGAACTAGTAAGTCAAGACTGTTTATTTTGACGACACTCTGTGGATACCCATGCCTAACGTAGTCGTAGAAAATCTCAATTTTGTCGATTTCTTGGTCTATTTCCTAAGTATTAAATCACAACAATGCTGTAAAAATCTAGCGAGGATCGTCATTATCGATGAGTCATACTTTATTTTGCACACTAAACTCTTTTGCAGAAGAAAAAAATTCATTGGAGGTTTTACTCCCTTTATCTAAGCTCAAAAAAAGCGACTCCCTGACCCTAAACGTTTCAATCATCCGCAACCTCCAGTGAAACAACACGCCAGAGCTGGCATTCTGCAGCCAGGCGAGCAACATTTTCACACGTACACGAACCAATCACGGCAGCGCCTCCTGAATCGAACAGGCGCGAGTCATCCAATTTCCTTGAACGACGCTTGCAGAGCCCCACCAAGCCTCTCGACTCCGATCAACCCACCCCTTCCTCTTTTCTCTGTCCCACCCCCCTGCAATCATCACTATCACCATCGCCGTGTAAGCAAAGGTAAGCGCGAGAAAACGAGGCCTCCTCGACGGTGAAATTGAATTTCTCGAGGCCACCGCGTTTAAAGCTGCTCGAGGCGCAGTAGCTTCCCGAGAGACACGAAACGTTTGCGTAAAGGCGTTACTCGGGGATCTTATTAGGACGCCTCTCTTTCCTGCATCATCAGCCTTCGGATTTGAAACTTGACGACCAGGCGTTGTTTACGCGCGTGTGTTCTCGTGCGGGATTACCGGGGATCCGCGTTTGGGAACGTGTAGGGCGAATTTAAAAAAAGAGCCGGCTTGTTTGCCGATCGATTTACGGTGGCGTTATTTACTCGCACGAGCTATGGTTCGTTGTTTGTTTGCCTTGCACTCGTGTTTGTTGTGCAAGTAAAATTTCTTACGCTTGCTTTACACCGGGGTTCTAGAATGCTATTGGAAAAAAATAGGTGGTTTATTTCAAGAATAATCCAAACACGGGGTTGTTTGCTCAAGTATTTAGTGGAAAATTGATGGATTCACAATTTTTTAGGAGAAATGATGGGAAAAGTGGTTAAATAAGTTGGGAAAACATGGTTTGTATTAACTGATCTCCGAGTGAATGTATAAATAATCAAAACAGGAGGAAAGACATCAAAACTGGTAAGAAATCAAATGTGGTTCATACAAAAACAATTTTTTGTACCAGTCTCGATTGAGCAGGAAGCTCACCTCTCCTTTTTTGGTTAATTACAACTTTTACTTAAGATTTTTAAGTAGAAAGAACCCTGCATAGTCAGACACCGCATGACCGATCCTAAAATGTTATAATTGTGCCTGCACCAGTTCAAGGAAACCTGTAATTACTTTACAACGAGAAAAAGTATTAACCAATCACCATCCAAATAAGTCAACACTGAAACTTTCCTATTAATTTTCCAACTGTTGCATGCATGCGGGCATCAGACTTCGCACTTACTAGTTTCCGCCAACTTCGAGACACCCAGCAGCAATTATATGGGGAAAGATTCTTGCAGTATTAAAGTTTCAGGAATTCAACGCTATTCGCAGATTGGGATGACTCGTTGTTGCAAAGTTCACTAATTAATTGAGAGTCTTGGCTCTGTTTCAACTTTACAGGATCCAAGTGAGTATTTTACGCGTATTAGTCAATTTTTTTTACCCACGTGTTCCAATTCACAATGTCAAGCAAGTGAAGTGCTACCTCTCAGCAAAGCTCGATTAAACACTAGTTGGGTAGAGTAACAAAGTTCGCTTTGTTTGAATTGAAACCAGAAAAAAAAAAAAAAAAAAGGTTTCACAGTTCCAAACGAAGAGCAGATAATCACACCCTGGCAAACGCAAACTCTCGATCGCTTTGCTCTTGAGAACCAGATCTACAAACAGATTTATTTTTGTCTGATAGCTCTATCTTACATTATCACCGTTTGGGAGGATAATTCGTTCCCGGGAAATTCAATCGGAGAAAATTGTGTGGTTGAATTAGCTCACCAGATCAATTGCTCCGTTTGGCGACCGCGAAAGCTCGCTGACATCGATATCGAAATGCCAGTGAGTGCACGTACAGTAGGTAGAGCGAAAATGAAATTCAGCAGAAAAGTTCCACCACCAAGGCCGCAGAGCTGATGGTAAGGAGAAAAAGGGAGGGATCAGGGACGTATTCCTGCGTTTGATCCTACCAACTTATCTGTGAGACTGAGGTGGGAGGATTAGGGAAAGAGAGGCCTGAAGTTGGCAGTTTTAAAACAGTTTTGGGAAAATCTGGAATTTAGTGACTTTAGAAATTCTCTGTTATCTTATAATCATAATTTGTATGAAAGGTCAATTCGTGTTTGTTTATTTTTTTTTTTTGTCATGTTCACTCTGACCTTAAACATATATAATTTCACTATTTTTTTTTACAGATTAATCATTGAAGTCCTTGCACGATAGAAATCGATAAATTTCGATTATTATGTTTCATATGTTTTTAAAGATAGGCATCAAAAATAATGCAGTAAAAAATGTTAATCAACGATTAAGATTTGTCATGTTTGGAAAATTAAGATATGCGTAGACTAAATTTGTTCAATTCTCGTTCGTATAAAAAACTTGACTTTTTTTCCTTTCCTGTAAATTATTAATTTATTTACTGTTTACACAAGAGCCCATTAAACAAAATTAACAATATTTTTAGTCACAGCTCTCAAAGTATTCTAAAAAAGTTTTTCCATGCAAGAGAAATCAAAGCACGGGCATCTGTTGGCCAAGCGTTCTCATTCAAGTTTCTATATAGACTCTGTTTTTGGCGCACGACCACAATTTGAGGTCAGGACGTTTCCAGTCGTATGAATCTTAGCCAAAATGTTCCTCCACAACTGTCGTCCAACAGTGGTCGCCCGAAGTTGTTGCCAGTTTCCGAAACACTTTCATGAGTGGCACTCAAAAGTTATCCCCACAGTTTAATTTAGCAGCCAACGGAAGTGGTATTGAAATTCTTTTCATTTTTGTTTGCAACAGCAATCGTTTCCTCGCACTGCTCTCGAGCACATACAACTTTTGAGTACATGGTCAGCAAAAATGAGTCCACGATATTGAAATATGTTTTCGACACGTTATTTCGCGCTGTAAGCTGTACGATGGTCTCTCGTAAAATATCTATTCCGAAAATTCCCAACTTTTCCCAACTAATTCTCGCACCTTAGACCAAAGAATGCCAATCGTAACTTTTTCCAGCAATTTTTCATGAATTCCGTTTGATTTTCGTGAAAAAACTTTCATCCAAAATATAGTTTGACGCGCGCAGCGACAGCCCGCCGTCGAGCCAAAGTGCCCTTTCGAGTCTCGTACTTTACTTTCCATTACATCCCCGGCGTCCTGCAATCTCAGCCACCTTATGGACTCCCCGGGGTGCTCGTACCTTCTTCCCTCTTATTGTCTCCCGTGATACGTTCGACGGACTTATAAATCGATTTATCGCGCTGGCT